ATGCAATTTCCCCCTCCTCCTTGGAGAGTGCCCTTTACTGTCCTGGAGCCCCTGAAGGAATTTTTCTTCACTACTGAAATGTCAGCAGAAGCATTTGTATTTTCTTGAAATAGGAGGTTTTCAGGATTTCTTCTCAAGTGGAGTTTCAGTTTCTGTTGCTGTTCACCTCTAGGGAATATCAGAATTTGAACACAGTTATGCAGCTCTAGTTTGCTAAGTTTAAAAACAAAAATAAGTCCTTAGCTGTGTATCAGAATTTGAAGGCCAACCACATGTGCATTAATTATATAACTCTTGCCTGTAGTTGTGTATTTGGGATTAAAGGAGATTTTGTCTAAAAATTATAACCATTCTACTGGTTCATTTTAGGAAGGAATAGAATGGGAATTTGGTGACATATTTCTGGAAGAATAGGTGAAAAGAGCATTAACCTAAATATAATCTAAATTTCTGTCTGTAAGTGACAATCACTCTCTGAATTTTATTTGGCACAGAAATTTCCTAAAGTACAACCTCTGTTATAAACTAGTGCTAGACAATTATTAATACACATACTTTGAATCAGTAGTCTATGCAAACAACCAATACTAGAGGGCAAAAATCTCACTATGAGGTATCCAAAGCATTTCCATTTCTTCATTTTTAGAATACATTATGCCTTCTCCTTAAGCCCTGATAATAGAAAGTACCTATGTTTGTAATTATTTTTATTAATCCCATGTAGTCCTAAGAAGTATTACGTGAAGTATGTTGGTATTTTTTAATTCTAGCATTCTGCTGGAACATCAAATTTACTTCAGTTTCTCTAACTATTTATTTTAAGAATGTCATAGAACAACAGTGTTGACATAGAGGAGAATCATCATGTATGTCTACATTTAGTGCGCTGGAGGAGTTCTCAAATAGGAATATGTCCTGCATCCAACCTTCACAGGTTGGAGAGATGGGTAGAGAAGAGCCATCTGAAATTCAACAAAGGCAAATTCAGGGTCCTGTACCTGGGGAGAAATATTCCTCTGCACCCCCGCACAGGCAGGGGGCCGACCTGCTGGAAAGCAGCTCTGCAGAGAAGGACCTGGGTCCTGGTGGACAGCATCTGTCCATGAGCCAGCAGTGTGTCCCTGTGGCCAGGAAGGTCAATGGTGTCCTGCAGGTGTGTTAGGAAGAGCATTTCCAGTGGGTTGAGGGAGGTGATTCTAACCCTACTCAGCCCTGGTGAAGCCACATCTGGAGTGCTGTGTCCAGTTCTGGCTCCTCAGGACAAGAGAGACATGGAGATCATGGAGCAGGTCCAGTGAAGGGCTACAAAGGTGGTGCAGGGACTGGAACGTCTCTCCTGAGAGGAATGGCTTAGGGGAGCTGGGCCTGTTCAGCCACGAGATAACTGAGAGGGGGCCTTACCAATGTTTACAAGGGTCTGAAGGGAGAGTTTCAAGAGGCTGGATGCAGACTCTTCTTGATGATGCGAAGAAATAGAGTAAGGGGCAATATGCAAAAACTGATGCACAGGAAGTTCCACCTGGACGTGAGGAAGAACTTCTTTCCTGTGCAGGTGACCGTGCACTGGAACAGGTTGCCTAGAGAGGCTGTGGAGTCTCCCTCACTGGAAATAGTCAAGAACCATCTGTACACAACCCTGTGCCATGTGCACTTGGATGACCCTGGTCAAGCAAGGAGGTTGGACCAGATGGTCCACTGTGGTCTCTTCCAGTCTGACCCATTCTGTGAATCATATTTTTAAGATCATACCAGTAGGAGAACTGTGATTCACACATCCACAAGCTTGCTTGTAGTGATAGACCCTCTGTAATACTTCTGCACTAAAACTGTAGAATTTATTCAGAATATCCTTGGTCCTGAAGTCCTTAACAATTTTCTTGGAATGCATTTTGGGGTCAAAGAAAATTGAAATATTTACCTGTAGGCTGTTTGCTTTGTAGCTCTTGAAGCTCCAACATGCAGCTGGTTACTATAACTGAAACAATGTCCTCTAAGCAAGAAATCCCACTAGAAACAGATATGGGAAAAAATGTTGGGTATCAGGTATCAAATTTAGACTCACATTAAAATAATTAATAGCTGAAAGAATGCTTTGGTTGAAAGATGAAGTAGTGCATCAAGCATTAGTAAGACAGTAATTTTTAGGTAGCTTCTAAACCTATGTGTCTTTCTAATGAATGCTTCTTTCTGCTTAAGAGTTTTTAAGTGTTTTCATTTTACTGTGGAGATTTCTTATGAATAATACTACTTTTGAAGAAGAAATTGTAATAGTCCAAGTACCAGAGTTCTTTTGTGTGTGTTTGTGACTTTTTTTGTTGCTTGAGATTCATGAGAATCTATTCTGATATGAATCTATTTGTAAGAAATGCATAAATAAATTGAAAATTGGATGTTATTATAAGGTATGGACATGTCAAACATCCTATTCACCCATCCATCCAGTATATTTCTTCCTACAAAGTAAAATTCTATGAAATTGATTTTCTGATTAGATACATTGAAAAGATTTTTTGTGTGTATATGTTCTTCATGAAGCAATAGACCACTGAAATATATCTAAAATCTAGAAAAAGATGATCATAGTTCCAGTTATTCATGTCTGGTTTGGATTTATCGAAGCTCTGAATGGGAACATTATAAAATCTTGAAAAATCTGATGGGACAAAAGAAGCCGCTCCACTCCTAGAGATAGTTTTTATATGACTATAATGTAAGCAGAAAAGGTTGGAGTAATCATCCTTTTAGTTAAATGTAAATGAACTACCAACATTGCTGGAGAGATGAGTATCTCACTTCTGGTTCCTACAATTTCATGCATGTCTTTCTAAGACTGAATATGTGCTTGCAATAAATGTGCATATGTATATAATGAAGGAGGATGGGTGAATTGTACTGCAGTGGAAAATTACGTGATTTTTTGATAGCTTCCTTTTTTTTGCATAGTTATTTCATTTGCAATTTATTTTCTCTCTATTTGAATATCTTTAGGATACAAAGTAATTTGCTTCTGTTTGACAAGCTAGGCTTTAAAGAATTGGTAACTAGAGCATTAGAAGCCAGGTACAGAGCTATAAAAGATTCATAGAAGTAATTTTCAAAATTAAGGTTTACAGCTTCTAACTTTTACATTTTGTTGTCTTGAGTTTCATGTTCTGTGGATCTACCACCTTAGATAAGAAATATTATGAATTTACACTGAGCTTTCCATCATAAATAAATGATTCTAGGGGCAATAAAAGGAGATAAACGTAATTGGGGATGGGGTTATTGGGGAAATGGTTTTGAGGAGTACAAACAAATAGATGACTTTAAGATCCATCTATATTAGATAACTGTGAGAATCATAAAATGTGAAATTTAGATAGGGCAGATAAGGGGATTCTACTTGGTTTCAAAGGTTAATTTCAAGCTTAGTATAAAACAGCTGCAGAGGGTAAGAAAAGAACTTTTTTTTCTTCCAAGAGATAAGTTATTTCTTTCCCCAAGGTTTTACTTCAATGCATTTTTATGATTCCTGGGCTTTGCAAAATTGAATTGCATTTTTCTTATTCTTTTCATGTCTGAATAAACCCAAGGTAAGATAACCTTTATGTAAATGGCAGTTATATTGCATTTAGAGCTACAAAGCACTTCTCAGAGCAGAATTTGTACTCAGGATTCATAAGAGCCTGGAGAAGGATGGTGGGACTCCTGGGATGCTCATTTGAAAAAACAGATACAAGCATTATTTGTATGAATTGCTGTCAAGGCATTGCAGTCAGCTGGTGCAGCAGGAAAGCCTGAAGATAAAGTCTGCCATAATTACTGTATTTTCCTTTTAACAAGTAACAAAGGAGGAGGAAATATTCTTGCATACATAACCCCTGTGGTGGGTTAACTATGGCTAAGAGCCAGTTTCCTACCCAGCCAGTAGGATGACAGGAGAAAATAGGAAGTAAAAGCTTGTGGGTTAAGATAAGACAGGGAGATTTTTTACCAGTTACTGTAATGGGCAAAGCAGACTTGACTTGGGGAAAATTAGTTTAATTTATTGCCAATTAAAGTAGGTTAAGGTGATGAGAAACTAAAAGATAGACATTAAAACCACACTTTTCCTCCTCCCTTTCCTGGCCCAAGTTCATTCTGTCACTTCAGACTCCTCTCCCCACCCCCTGAGCAGTGCAGAGGAGACAGAATGGAGTTCTGTGGTCAGTCCATTAGAGGTCCTCTCTGCCCTTCCTTCCTCACCCCACTTTTCACCTGCTCCAGTGTGGGATTTCCACTGGCTACTGTCCATCTCCCAGGCGTACTCACCTGCCCTGGTGTTGGTTCTCCAGGGGCTGCATGGGATATTGCCTCTGGCATTTCACCATGGGTTGTAGGGGAGTGTCTGCTCAGAGTATGGAGCACCATCTCCTTTGACCTTGGTGTGTCCTCTGCTGTTTCCCAGTCTTCCTGTTCCCTGCTCTTCTGCCTGTGTGGCATTGTGACTGGCTCTTCCTTAACTCTGTTTCCTCCAAGGTGCCACCATTTTGGCAGAAGAGCTCAGCTCTGCCCTGCCGTGGTTCCTTGTGGTTCCTTTTGGAGCCAGATGGAACCACCTGTGACTGGCTCAGGGCAGCCCCAGCCTCTCCTCACCAAGGCCACCTCACTGCCAACACATTGGCATGGACATTCACCACAGTCCTATTCAATTAAAATATTTTTGGAGGTAGGGAAGGAATATTTTTGAAGGGAAGGAAGCTTACAGTCCTCACATGCACACCTAACCTCCACTTTTGTAAAATATGACTTAAAGAAATGCATAAGCTAGGATTCAGCTGGCTGTTCCTTGGAGTCTAGTTTTGATTACTAGACAGTCCAGGTTATGATTGAACCCTGAGTGTGAGCTTTTCAGCAAAGCTGCTCTTATAATTAGGGCAATGTTGTGAGCAGGACATGTAGCCAAGGATAATCTTCTTCTGTGTCTTATCCGTTGAATATGATTGCAAATGTTTTCATTTTATTTTTCCATAATTTAGATTGCAAGGGGATAATTTGGCAGAAAGGCCAGAAGATGTCTCCATGGTATCTCAGACATCTGAGCCAGCAGTGTCAGACTCTGATGGTAAGTTGTATAAATATTTGCTGCTCATAAAAAAAACCCCAAACATCAACATCTTGAATTTGAGAGTAGGGGTTATGTCTGTAAAAGATGAAACACTTCCAAGAGAGTGTTCCTGGGCATTTGAACTCAATCATTTACACTTCAAATCTGTTCAAAGAGCCACTAACATATTTTTTGTCATGGCCAATTAACACCCCAGAATAATTCCTAGGCTTATTTTGAGAGGTGCACTGGGCCAGAATTTGTTCTTATTAGACAGATTTTATGTTAGCACACTAACATTTAAAACAGCTTAATAGCATAGGCATGGGGTGTTCATTGCTGCTTTTATGCCAAAGAATGGTCTTTGAAATATTTAATTTATTACTACACATGCATCCAGATGATTCAAATGTTTTACAGTAGAAAGAAAGAGTTTATAAAATAACTTTGAAAAACACTTTTTCCCCTCATACAAACATGTTCATATGGTTAATCTGCAGTCAGGACACTCAGGCTTATTTCAATTTCTTCTCAGGTGTTTGAACTGAGTAACACCTGAAATGTTGAAAAAGGCACTTCATAAGGGATATCTTTCCAGAGAATACCCAGCTTTCCTGTGAAAGATAAAATTGATGAAGGTTAACTTTATCTTAGCTGCTGCTGTAATACAGAGAGAAAGAAATACAGGTTTTGACAGTGAATCTGCAAACATAAATCTTTCAGTCCATTGCCTTACTGTTGAACCAGCCAAGTCTACAATTGTATGTTTTGATTTGCAGTGTAGTCTTCAGCAGCCATGGACAAGTTAGTCATGGACAAAAAAAACCCCAGAATGTAATTTTTTAATTATCCTACTCCCTGTCTGCAATCTAATCCTATTGTAGATACTATTAGATATCACAGCAACCTGAGCTTTCACTCATTTCTCTTGCCTCATTTGTAAACCAACCATTAGTAATTAATGTGTCTTTAAAGACTAATTTTTCAAACTGATTTTGTGAGAATGTGTGGTTTCATGCAGTCAAGACATTGGCTTTTCCTTTTATCTGCCATTGATCACCTAATTGAACAAGGTAATAGGATGCTCAGAATCTCAAAACATGATGTCCTTACAATCTTCACAAAGATTGTCAGCAAGAGATGCTCAGACAGGTGACTTCATTCAAGCTCTGTGAAAGGAAAGCAAAATTCTGTTGTGAGAGTGATTCCCAGAAAGGGAGGTGGTGGTGGCTTGCTTGGGATAAGTAAAGGAATATACATGCATGGGATTATTGCAGCAAAAGCAAATAGATTGGTAAAACAGACATGTGGGAAAAAGCTCTACAGTTCACAAAATAATTTTTGAACAGACCTCATCCTTTCATATTTCTTCCTGTGCACCTTTGCTCCTGAAGTGAAAGTATGCTCACTTTGCCATGTCGTGTTCTAAAATTGCAGATTTACCTACTCAATTAAATTGTTAAGTTTTGCTAAGTGGCAGCAATACCGGGATTAAAGAAGGTGAAACTATCAGAAAGTACTGGATGCTGTGTAATATTGGAGCTGGATCTTTCATGGTCACAGAATGTAGAGCACAAAAGTGCTACAGCTGTTCTACCTTCAGCCACTTCATGTGCTTCTGAATACTCTGCAGTCAGTATGGCTACAGAGAAGATGGGAGATGCTTTCTTTAAAAAAAAACACATTCAATAAGATGCAGGGAGTAAAATTTAGATAGGAAGGTGGGGCACTGATATTCATGTTGTTATAAACATCTATCTGATGTCTATGAATATACATGGACCTGTTAGTCATGTAGCTAGAAAATAACAAGGCCTCTCGGGCGAAAAGACTGAGGTCAGTAGTAAGCTAATGCCAAATTTCTGTCAAGAGGTGCCCTCAGAAATGTTCAGTGTTTTGTAACATATGGTGGAGTCTTTTTTTCCTAAAATGTTGGCTAGTGCTACATTTCAATTTGAAAAAAAAACCACAGCTGGATTTCACCAGTAGGTACAGACTATAAACAGACACAGAGCTCAGGCAACTGCTCATTCTATCAATCCTCCCTGTAAATGCAGCACAGCATTTGCCCTCTTTGCATCTGATACTTATTTCCAATAAATATTATTATGTATGAGAGGATGATTAAAAAAGCCTCATAAAGATATTGTTAAAAAACCCTAAGTAACCAAGCCATCATTGCAGTGAGTTTTTAGTTATGTCCTCTTATAGATGTATTACATCATGAAATAGTGATTAGCAGGCTTCACTTACCAGGTTTATTTGAATTTATGTTCTGCTATTTATCAGTACCAGTGACCTTAATGAGGGGAAAGTGCATTGGGAAGTGCTGATGCAAACCATTCATTCAAGAATAAGCAAGCAAGGTGCTGATGCACAACAAAGTTGGGAGTAGCTTTCTTTAGATAATGATCTGTTTCTGTTGTTAGATCTGGAACATCTCTCCTGCGAATTTCAGATGAACTAAGCTCAGAAGTAATTGGCAGAACATCTGATCTAACAGCCCTTATAAATAAGCCTCATTTTAAGCCATTCTACCTACTAAAGGCAGTGCAGGAGCTTATGTGAGAAGATCATGTGCAGCATCAGACACTATACTGACTCTGCTGACAATCTGGAGCTGGTTCTAATTAACCACTACACTGATTTCCCTCTAGTATAATCCTGCTGAATTGGACAGACTTGTGTTTGATCTAAGTAGTAAAAATGAGAGGTAGGAGTCAGGTCTCAAGATAGAAAAATAGAAGACACTTTAAAGCTACAGTTTCTTTCCACTGTCCTAAACTATACCTCTCAAAAATGTTTCCCTTTTCCATTAGACCACTTCACAGGAAAGAACTAAGGAAAGAATTTAATAGGTTCTTGATTTTAATCAGAAGCAGCATAGATGACTGCACAGCAAACTTTCCCTGTAGATGCCAAGCTTGTCTGGTTTGTCTCTTTGGTCAGTTCTCCATTGAGCCTTGCTCTTGTTCTGTAGAGGTAGATGTGAAGAATTGCTGAGGCTTCAAAAGATGCACATTACAACAGAATTGATCCAGAAAAATCTACATGCAACAGACCCCAAAGTGTTTTTCAGGTTGGTGGGATTGTAGAAGCAATTCACTTCAGTATTTTTGGGGGCTTTTAGATATGTAGAAACAGTATCACTTAGGGATAATTGTTCATTTACTCCCAATTTCCTGTAAGTACCATACAACCTTGTTTCACTTGTTTAATTCTCTTCTGCTGAAATGTACCTTACCCTTTGAGTGAAGCCATGATATAAGGCAAGAAAAGAAGATGTTATTGCAAATACAGCTTTTGCAGTCTGTGCATCCTTTTAGAAGTAAGTTTAAAATGCAGTAATGTATTAGGGAGTAATCTCCTAATACAGGATAAATGAAAAGTATAGTACTTCTAAACCACTCCTCAAATATCTGTGAAAAGCTGTTTATTATGTACTCACACTCACTTCTTCGCATGTATTGCGCAACTCCACATATTTCTGGGGTGTGGGCAAAGACTTGTTTCTTTTGTGACTCCCCCTGGAAAAATATTGGACCAAAAATAATAGGTTCTGTGATTCTATGCCACTGTGTAAATGTGGTATTTCCTATTTTATTGTGCTATTACATCTACAGCTCTAGAGATTATATTGTGATAATAATACTTAGTTTGCTAAATAAATTTTGCTAGAGCAAATTTCACATCAGTAGTTTATTCCCTATCAAACAGGAATCACTGTTTTTTTTTTTTGGGGGGGTGTTTGGATTCTGGTTGGTTTGTTTGGTGGGGTTTTGTTTGGTGGGTTTTTTTTTTTTCCCTTCTAAGTGTCATTATAGTAGAAAGTTCAAGAGACATTAAGATGTAGAGGAAAAGTTTGGAATTGCAGATATTCAATAAAAACATGAACATATGAAACACATAGTGTTGTTCTGGGTGGAGCTGCATGACTAATGTAAAAAATTAAGGATGCAAATATGTAGGAATTAAGATTGAGAACTGGAGAAGGCAATGGCAAAAGTGTGGCATCATATCTCAAGTCCCACACAATTCCCTGACCGCAGCTTTGCATTATCATCACCTCTTTGCCCTCAACATCAATTTATGTTTGCAATGAATTGGTAACCACAGTTGCCACACTTCACAGTTAAGTTCTGCTTTCATAGTAAGGATAGCCTGGGATGTTTAACAAATTGGATTCTGGAAACATAAGGACCTCCCTGCTAAGTGTCAGAATGACAGCAGAACACAGAGAAGATCAGGACATCTTCTTTTGTTAGGCTGCTGGTGCAGCATCTAAGTGCCTTAGCAGAGTGCTAGGTAAAGAGTCAAACTGCATATAATGTTACTTGGAAATGTCTTTCTCTGACAGTGTTGCATAAAATCTGTTTTAAGTCATTATACATGCATCAAAGAGACATTTTAGACTCTCCTCAAAACTCTGTCATTTTAAAATGTGCCAATATAGGCAAAAGTTATACTTTCAAGGCTTTAAAATGTTGTCCAAATTGACCAAATCCTTTTACTTCAGGAATTTTAACTGAATTAATTTAATATAGTTTTATTCATTTTATTAAAGCTGGAAATCCACTACTCTCTTGTGTAAAGGGTAAACAGTATTTAGTTTAAATAGTAAAGTTAATAAAGAACCTAGAAGATACCTTGGCCACTGAAGGAAGCTTGCTTATCACTCTAGTTGTCTTAGAGACACTGTTCTATGTTGCATTAAGGTTATAAATTAAAATCAGATATAAATTATAATCCATTGAACTGTAACTGAAAAGTAGTATATTTACAGTAGCCACATTTGCCTTCCCAGCAGTAAAATTTTAGGCATTACATTTTCAAAGTGACTAACACTTACTTGATTAGAGTGATTTACTTTTCTCTTGTACCTCTTTGGAACAGCTCAAATACCTGGGGTTGAAACGCTCACAGAAGATGTTAATGAGTTTCAGAGTGCTTCTCAAGTGACAGCATCTGTAAGTACCTTCCCTTATGGGTAATCCTGTAATTTTTAAAATTAGTTTCATAAAAAGTAAATTTTGCATGGAGATAAGAGTTGTGTTTGCCAGCACTGTCATCCTAGAGAGAAAAAACCCAAAATTTACGTAACCCTTCTGAATTTTCAGTTCTCTGCTTTAATTTTTTTATTCTAGGAAAAAGGGGTATTTTGAAATACATTATTATAATCTACAAAACCACATGTTGGGCTTGCCCTTCGGAAGTGCAGTAATTTTATACATATTCTGTATGTTTTTAAATGCTAGTCAAATACTAATTTTGCCAGATAATATTCAGTTTTAAAAATTGAAGAGAACAAAATAATTCAAACTCTAAATTTCATTCGGAAATATGAAATTGTGATATCTCAACTATAATTTAAATTTCTATTACCATTTGCTTGAAAACTAATAAGAGCAATTTAGTTAAAATTTGTGGTGAGTTTATTTGTATATTTTAAAAGAATGCAATATTATGCTTGGTAATATCTCCATCTGTTCTTTTTTTTGAAACTTGAGAAAATCTCTGCAGATACGCAGTTTGTGGAAAACATAACCAGCAGTAAAATAATTTTTTAAGAATTATATAATCGTAATTTTTATGCTATTAGTATTGCACTAGGAGTTTGCATATAGGCTAAAAAAGGACTGTGGTTTTTTTCCCTAAGGCAAATAAATTTACAATAGTTGTTCTTTTTTGCAAAATTTTAGACAAGTGTAGGAGGACATTAATTCCTGTTCAGTCTGTTCAGCAATACTGCTTAATAGCACACTTTAATATTGATATAGGAAGTGAAAGAAGGGCTCAGTATTTGTTAGCTAAGAAAGAAAGGGCAATATAAAGAAAAAAGAAAAATGGCAATGCAGATTGGTCTTGCACTCTTTCAGGCATCTGATTAAGCAATGTGAATAAAGCTAGATAGTATTGAACATGAAGTATTTACAACCGGATTATTTATCAAGACAGTTGAGGGATATGGAGTTTCAGGTCAATTCCTAAAGCTCTTTGAGAACTTGAAGTGCAGGAACCTCACAGAGCATTTGCTGATATTGGGCAAAAAGAGTAAAGAACAGAACTACAGCTGGCATTGCTTGGAGCTACTTTTTCAAATCTCCTTTCTGCTTCCCACCAGCAAACAGAAGGGTAAAATAAAATTTGCAGTGGTTTTGGAGCTCTCATTTCCTTATTGATTTGGACTTTTAGCTGCAAAGTTTGATTTATTAATCCTGCAGACATGTAACATAGGAAGAGAGAAACAAATTAATTGAATTACACAGAAAAAATACAAAGAAAACAAAAGTTAATTTTGCTTATTAGCAAAATCTTGTTACAGAAGGGTGTAGCCTTCAGCTGGACAGTTTTACATATATGCTCTGCGTGTGCAGGCTTAGGAGCAAACAAACAATATGTATCTGTGTTCATTTCATGCTCTGGTAGTTCCAGGCTTATTTGAGGTTGCTGGGAGGATGGAACTGCCAGAGGCTGTGGGGTTCCCTGGGCTGAATCCCTGAAAGCTGGCTGGTGTAATTACCAGGGCTGCAAAGAGAAGACAAGAGCAGTTGCAGCTCTTGCTCTGCCCGTCCATCCTCTCCTCAGGGCAAAGGCAGATCATTTCACATTCCCAGGCTCTTCAAAAGCTACTTTGCCTAAGTTTCTAAGGAGCCAGTTATGTTAGTTCATACTCTTTGGAGTTTTTTTCTGGTGTATTGTGTCTTAGTGTTCTTGCTTAAACAGAATGTAGCTAGCTGATTGTTTACTTTTGTCTCTTTGTAATAGCTTGATATTGAAAATTAAATTCAACTATCCAATGCTTTCTCTGTAACTCTATATCCTTAAAAAGAAACAAATGATCCAACTGTTCTTGCTTTTCAGTGCTCCAAGGGAACGATCTGTTCCATGCTCCCCTAATAACTTTCAGTGAGACTTATTCTTTGGCAATCTTGACATACAAAATATAGATATAAAACTGAGATTCCTCATAGGAAGGCTGTGTAGATAAATGTGATCTTGAAATGGATTTCCACAGTCTTTCAAAGCAGTAAGACATATGCCTATAAACAGAATTGTTACCAAAATGTATTCTCATGACTTGGATGATTTTTAGATATTTTATGCAATGCAAGATGTGGGAAAAATAGAATACTATGATGATCGGACTTTTCTTATAAATTTGACAAATTGATTCATGATATTCCCTCAAATGTGCATATTACATGTAAAACATCCTTACATGGGTCAAGGTGTTAATATTGATACTGCATTCCAATAGGCTAATTTGTGTTGATGGCTAGTTAAATAGATGATTGTATAAATTCTTCTCTGCTAATGTATATTTGACAAATTTTCCTCAAAGGTACCTTGGCCTTCAGAGGATAAGTGTTGTGAGAAAAATTGTAGGACAAAAGAGCAAGAATTATGCATAAGGATTTTTATAAAAAAATTTTGGGTTCTTTTTTTTCATGTCCCATGTATGAATCCATATGTAAGATCTTTAATGTGGATACTAAAACAATCTGGATACTGGTACTCAAAAGAGATATGCAACATCTATGTCTGTTACGTGTTTCATGTAATTTACATCATGGTTATATTATTATTTTCTTGCAGCTTTGTCTATTTTTAAAGTTCTATTTCTGAAAACCCTGGTTTTTGCAGTTAGACCTTTTTATTTATACTTTTTAAAATAGAATATTTTGCTATGCTGTATTTTTAATGAAAAGAGTTGATGCTTGAGAAATTGAAAACTTAGATTTTCAGGGCTGCACAACCCCAAACAAGGCATTCTGGGCAAATAAGTGAGTAAAGCTGGCAAAAAAAGCTGGTTGAAGTATTTACAGGAATCAGCACTTCTCCCAAGTGTTTTGTAAGAATTCAAAGTAGAAACAACCATTCAAAACATCCTTACAAATCCTAGTTGACTGCCTGGAAACTACTTTTGCGTAACGAAAAGTGTCAGACAAAATGCAAAATCTTTTTCTTGAGATTTTTTCGCTATGGTGAGCACAAAGTTTGATAGCCAAATGTTTAGAAATTTTCCAGAAACATAAAGTAAAATAAGACTCTAACAAAATACAGAAGTTATACTAGGAAAAATTTAAGGGGCCTGGAATTCTAGCAGAAATGGAAAAGCAGGGTTTCAGAGGAAGCTGCTTACTTTACCATGCCTATCAGATAGAAACAGGGCACAGGCACTGAGCAGATCACATGAAGTAGCTTTTGCCTTCTCTCTGACTTGTTTCTTTTACCACCTGGATCTAACAGGACTTGTGCTTATTTTTGGGTGTTTTTATGTCAATCGTGCCTTGCACATGCACATAAAAAGGTGTATTTTTCTTTGTAAATTATCCATGTAAGGCAAAGCAATCCAAATGCAGCAGAAACTGGAAGAAAAAGTTGACCAACTGCAAAAAGCATTTCTGCATGAATGTGCCTTTGGATTTTGCTCTTTATTACTGAGCAAAAAATACTGTAATAAAGTGTTTTATAGAAATATTTTGGGTTTTTTTCCTGTATTCCCTACTGCTTTGAAACATATTATTTGCTTTCATAGAAGAAATACAGACATGGGATTTCTGTGATGAATGCATAAATTCTTTAATTCAGTTTGTAAAAACTTTAGGCTTCATGCACAAGGAAAAACTAAGCCTTTATTCTTGATGTCAATATATGTTGTATACAATAATATTACAATGTTGCATGATTTCAGTTCTTTTGGTTAGAAGTTTTCATAGGTTTTTCCCCTAGAACAATAATATGAAGTAACTGAATTACTTGTTTGAGTATAATCAACAGAAATCATCCAAACTTATGCATTTAATTAAATCTATAATCTATTTACTGAGTTGGGGTCACTGTCTGGCATTTAGCAGTTTATTCATTCAAATAGCTCTTTCAAGATAGCACTGTAACATCAGGAACAGCAGCAGTGCAACTTTGTGGTAGTAGGATTTATAAGGATCATATTTAGATCATATTTATGTGCACATTTATGTTTCAAATTAGAAATTTATGAACATATTTATGTTCAAATTGGTGCGTTCTGATACAAAAGTTTTCAAATCCAAGCTGAATGTTGTAATTATATAGAAATTCAGGAGCTTAGCGGTGAAATTTTAGATTTTAACTTCAACATTTAAATCTTCTATAAATATAATAAGTTAATATGAGATTACTTCAACTCTTCTACAGGTAGTAAAAAAATCCCTACACAAATGTGTATGTTTAACCATTGTTAGGTAATTTAACAATATAAGATGGTTAGAAAAGCATAATATCAAGGTTCTCGGGAAATAAGTGATTATTTCTGCAAGTAGTTAGGAAAGGAGTTTGAATTGCATACCTTGGACAAAATTTGGTTGAGACCTCCCTTATGTCAAACAAAGTCCATAAACTAGACATAGATTTTTTTATATACAAAAAAAAAAAAAATCTTGGGTGAAAATATCCTTATTAGAAAATATTTCATCTTATGGACTATAATTTGAAATTGAAAGAATATTCTGAACTTTAGGAAAATCTATATAAGAAAAGGAAATCAATGAATGCTTTGTTTACCTGTCTAAAATTTTGTGTTCTTGGACATGACAAATTCAGATATATTAATCCAAATAACAGTAAATAAAACTGAAGTTTAGAAAAAAATTATTATGGTTGCATTTCAAAAACTGAAACAAATATGATTCTCAGTTGACCAGATATTTCCTCCTTCCTGCTTTCCTGTAAACAGAAAAACTGTGTGTAAGTTAATTCAAAGTACCATTTTTTAGTGTAAGGTTTAGTGTAAAATGTGCTGCTGGCTGACTGCCATGGGAAGCCAAAAGCTTGTAATTTCAATTACACGGCATTTCAAGTAGAACAGGCCCTAATGTGGAAGAGGGGATTAGAGGTGGCAGCTGATATTGTAACAGAGCTCCGAGAAGCCTTGTATTTTTACAGTATCAGATGGTTTGCTCACCTGATGTCCTTGAACAGATTATGG